TTACCTTTTTCAGTTTCGCTATTTTGATTGTTCGCATTCCAAAGAACCTTTCTGAAGAAGTGTTGTATGAAAAAGGGTCCTTTAAAAGAATGAGTTCCGTCATTTTCAAAGCTAAATATATGGATTCTGATATAAAACATTTGTTCTTATATATATATATATATATATATATATATATATATTATAAAATTACAAGAGGATAGAATCCAGGTAGAACTCAATGTCCAGAACAGAGTAAGAATATAATATAAAAGCAAAACACTAATATTCTATGGAATATTAGTGTTTGATCCTTTTATATATATATATATATATATATATATATATATAAAAGTTGACATATATATATATATATATATATATATAGTCTTAAGATGTGTTGTATATATGGGCCAAAGTGCTCAATATCAGAGATAGAGCGTGTGTAAATAAAAAAGTGAACTTAGAAGTCAACACTTAGAGGCGACAGTATGTTTCATGCTAGATGCAATCGTCAGCCTGACGATTTCATCTAGCATGAAATAGACTGTCGCCTCTAAATGTTGACTTCACTTTATATATATATATATATATATATATATATATATATATATATATATATATATATATATATATATATATATATATAAGAAATGGACAAAGTCCGACAATTTATTTATTAAACATAAAAATGTCTTTAATAAATATATATATATATGTCAACGTTTTCATATATATCTGTCAGTCTTTGTTATTTCTATCTATCTATCAAATCTAAAATGAGTTATCCTAAATTTCAGCACGTTTTGACAGCCCGCGTGAGCCAAATGTATTACGAAATATTGCTGCTATAAAATTTTAAAAGCTTTATATATGCTGTTGTATTTTCTGTAGATATAATGTTTCATAATACAATACTCAACTTGAAAGAGAAATAAAAAGAAAGATTAGAAAGAATTAGAAAAAAGATATTAATAAAAGAAAACTTTGTGAAATCGCTAACTTTATAATCGGGATGTAATTTCTGATGTAACGACCAGTCCAATAAAGATGTATTCAGTTTTATTGAATAATCGAATTGTTACCATATCCTAAAAGTATATTGCCAGCAGTTTCATCTGGTAGAATCTATAAGTGACATTACATGAGTGGCGAAAGGTTGCTGGCATCTTTTACTTGTCAGAAGATATAATGAAGTGATCAGTTATCTTGCGCTAAGGTCAATCACTCCTGGGTGGGGAGCAAGGAATAAATGTAAAAGCAATACAAATTACTTTGTATTACGAAAGGCTAAGATATTATCGGATGTCAACATTCTCTCACTATTTTTCCACTATGTATCTATCTATCTCTCTCTCTATATATATATATATATATATATATATATATATCTATATATATATATATATATATATATATATATATATATATATATATATATGGGTGTGTAAAACATTATATTTAATAGGAAACATCATTGAGTAGAGAGCCCTGTTTTCTTAAACAGTGAAATTGACATCTAGCACCTTGGAAAATAGAAAATCTTATTAAACATGAACTAACGATATATAACATTCATAATGTTAATAAAAAATCCGGATTAAAAAGAAAACATTGTGATATATATATATATATATATATATATATATATATATATATATATATATATATATATATCTTACATTAATTGCACAACTCCGAGTTTCATGGCGAAACAATTTTCAACTTCTCGAAATATTTATTTTTATTTATATTTTTGTTTGACACCGTTTTTTGTTTTTTTTTAAATTTCAAGTTCACCCGAGACATATTATTGTTGGGGTGGAATATTATTGGAGTTAAAATATTTATATGAATTTTAGTTTAATTGTGAATTTGAATTTACGCTCAGATTATCATTTACGATTGAAAATACGGGTGGAAATAAGAAATATAAATTCTAAATTAGGAAAACGATGCGTTTTGAAAGCGTAAGTAACGAAAAAATGGGAGTTAGAAAATCATTGTGGAGCAACTCAATTTTTTCCGAAAATTAAGAGAGTTATTGATAATAATATTACTAAACTAGATAAATCTAATGATATCAAGAACAGAGTATGCCATGGTAAAATAATATAAAATAAAGCACAATAAAATAATTTACTACTACTACTAATAATAATACATATCAATGGAAAGAAAATCATTTAAAATAAAATAAGAAAAATAGAGTAAAATTAAATAAGAGCCTTATATAGGAAGATATAAATATGTCAGTAAACACATTAAAATGTTTAAATGAATTGTAGTTGGTTTTGAGTTTGAAGTTCGGCCCAGATCAACATTTATTATAAAATTGAAAATAAGGATGGAAATAAAAAATATAAATTCTAACTTAGAGAGACGCTTGTTTAACAAATAGAAGTGGTGTTATAAAATCAAAGTAGGTAACTCTACTTTTTCCAGTAATCAATTGAGTAATTAATAATAATAATATTATTAATATTAATATTCCTAAAAAATATAAAAATAGTGATAACAGTAATAATAAAATAATAAGATATGACGTGATAAAAAACGGTAAGATAATGTAAAATAAAATAAAATGAATGAAAGCCATATTTAGGAACTTATAAATATGCAAATAAGTAGATAGATAAATAAATAAAGCAAATAAATGAATAACTGAATAAAATAATGAATACAAATAGATGAGTAAATACAAACGTTTCTGACAGTAAAACGAAAGGTGAAAGAAAGAGACAACAAATAAAGCAAAAATAAAAATAATAGTAGCTGTAAACTCAATATGATAGTGGTAAGGTAATGGATAAAATGGAAAGACAAAAAAGTTAAATGCGTTATCGTCTAAAATTAAAAATAGTTGTATAAAGATAGAAAGAAAAGTTTAAAAATAATGTCAATATTAGCAAATATGGACGCCTGGTCTGGCTAGACTATATTAATCCGAGTCAATATGTTTGTGTAGGAACCTGAATCTATGTAAGCAGGTACTAATTAACTCACACAGCGGTTTGGATATTTATATTTTCAGGATTATTAATTTTACATCGAGACATAAGTTACATTTATTGCCTTTCCCGCTGAAGGACTTAGCCTTCGTTAATAGTTCCCAGGTGATAATTAGGTTTTTATTCTCGCATTTTAGCTTCCAGAAATATTTAGAGATGGTGGAGCTGTTTCGATATTTGATATTGCCAAATATTTGATGGTGGTAAATGCGCGATTTCCAATTGTTTTTCGTAGAGCACACGCAAAACTTAACCTTGTCGCAATGTTTCATTTCTGCTTTATAAACTAACGCTTTGGATATACATTTACCGTTTAATAGTCAGTGTTTGCTATTTCCGCAATTGCAGTTATTAGTTATGAGGATACTATTGCTTTGGAGGTTGTTGAAATACTAGTTTGGAGTGGATATTATTTTTGTTGAAGATCTCATTAAGTGTTGGGAAATGACTGAAGTCCCTGTGAATTAAATTAAAAAAAATTCCGATGTTAATTTTGACGTTTATGTTGAAGAGCGGTTTAAACCATATAATACTGCGTTTACGACTTTTAGGTTTGGTTGGCGTCATTATTGCTATTTTCATAGAATTCGAGGTTAATTTTATGGTTACTAAGTTTTAGTGCTTCTACGTACTTGCCTTTATGTTTGTCAAATATCTGCTTATTGATAGAGTTGGTGGAAAGTCTAAATTGGACCGAATAATATAAGTTATTCCGTATCCTAGGATGGTTATTAGACTGTTGATATATCTACGCTTGTATAAATCTTTGCAGTATGGTTTGTGAAGCCCATTAGATAGGTGAAATGTTGAATCCAGGTAACTGATAATTTTAGCATTGGTGGTGGTGGGTTTTTTTAGACGGTCAGCTTTTAGTGCTTTTAGACACCAAAATAAAATACAAAAATATAAATATCTGGGAAGTGTATTAAAAAGAGGACAGAAAATGCGATACTGAAATCCGAAGGCACGTTGGACTAGCAAAATATGATTTCAAAATCTAAGTTAAATATCATGAAACAGGACTATTTCGTTAGAAAAAAAGAAAACATTACGGAACTCTTATTTAACATCGGCCATCCTATATGGCAGTCAATGTTGGACAAGCTTATCAGAGATGAATAAGCAGCTTCAAGTAACATAAATGTGATTCTATAGGAGAATACTCTGGACTGAACATGACAACAACCATAACGTTTTAGTTTACCGGGCACATAATGAAGAAAGAGAACTTGGAGAATTTGATACTCACAAGACATAGTGAAAATAAGAGGGATAGAAGAAACCATGGAACAATAGGGGTTAGGAAAGATGACAAAAAGATAAACCTTACCTAGAGCTACAAAGGGAAGAAAGTTGTGGAGAGCCATGATCACACACATCCTGAAGGGACATGAACATAGAAGAATTTATTTATTACACATACGGGTATATTGTTAGTATGAGTATGTTTTCTGTGTTTCTATGAGAAATTTGGTGGTGCTTTTAATTCGATTAATTTAGATTTATTTTAATTTGAATCATAATGATAAAAGTTGCCAGAATTCTATAAGTAACGAACTAATACACAGGCGAACAGGCTCTCCGAATAAAGCAAGTTTTATTTAACAAGAATCGATAGTAAAAATGTTTGGAAAATTCAAAAAATATCGTCCCTGTTGCCAATCTCAGCCGAGTTGCATCAGAAAGTTTCTAGTTGAGAGATTAGCCATTTTTATTGGTTAGGGATCCTATCGATAGGCCAATCAAAAGACAGGAGCGAACGGCATTTTTCTGATGGAAAAGGATTTTTTATATTTGGAACTTCGTAGTGGAACAATTCAGATCTGAAGTAAGCTGCCTTTCAGGAAATAGAATCTTCGTTGAGTTTTTGAGCTGATCAACATGGCAAGGACGGAAGATGACTCAAAAAGGCTACAGCTAATCGTCCTCGTAAGATGCTCCTTGATAGTACCCAAATATTCACCGTCTCGCCCGTTAAGGTAGTGGCATGCGTATCTATGGGGCTTATCACGTTGAAACACCGGTACCAGTACGATCACCTAAGTTAAGCCACATCGAGCCTAGTAAGTACTTAGATGGGTGACCGCTTGGGTATATAAGATACTGAAAGCTTGGTTGTGAGGTTCGTGTAATTGGATAACGAGTCGGAATTGGAAATCAGAGAACCGATTTTCAATTCCAGAGGGGTTCGTTATATTCACTTCCGAACAAATACAGTTGGGAAAGGTTTGAATTGTTAAATGGTAGGACTTTGTTTCAGTAAATCATTATTATCTTAAAACATTCTTAAATTTTTAGACGAGTACCTTCTATTTTTAAGATTTTGACAGCCGATAGTAAATCTGGTTAAGTCATTAGATTCTCCCAGGAAAATCACGTATAATTTAAATAAATCCGGTGAGAAAACGCACCTGATTCTTACATTCTTCGCTTGTAGTGAAGATGATAAATCGGTTGCTATCAGAATGCTGGTGGTTTGTAAATGTTGCAGATTAACATAATATATTTCTTATATGAACTGAGTTTATATAACAGTTCGAGTAGACTTTCTTATCGCAGTTTAAAGAGATGAAAACCTGTTTTTCACTGACAACATATACTCTGAGCTAATAAAGGCTTTCTTGTAGTTTAGTAGGAAGAGTGCTATTAATGACATCTTATACGCCCCAAAATATGTCGAAGTCTTCTACTAAAGCGAAGAAACGGTTTATATTCATAAAGTAAAAAAAGAACATTAATTTCTTTCTAGAATTCATTTTAGAAAAGTTTTAAGAATGTTGGTTCCACATTGAACATGAAGAAAAATTAATTTGTTGCTTTTTTCACCTAAATGCATGAGACCAGGTATGTTTGTTTGTTTTTCTCAATAAACTCAGAGAATAAACGTTTGCGGCATTATATATATATTTTCTCTCGTTGGATATATATATTTATTTATATATATATATATATATATATATATATATATATATATATATATATATAGAAGAGGGGTGCCACAAAACGTTTTTTGGTTGTAATGTGGATTTATTGAGAAAAATTTTTTTTTTGCAGGACCTAGGTACCTTTCGGCTTTTGTTTTGCAAATTTTTTTAAACAAACAATGAAAATAAAAAGAACGCCAAATTATGGTCTGGAACACGTCTAAAAATTTTACGAAGATATAAAATTAAAATAAATTACGATTAAAATAAATGCGTAAATAATGAATTAATAATAATGAACCAACCTGAGCAGTAAAATAGGAAAATAAGTTGCTCATATATCAAAAAATAAATTTAGCGATCGTGAAAAATTCTCCTTTTGTTTAGAAAGCGATGGTTTAAATAATTTGAGGCAGATGGCTTCCAAAATAGACAGATGATATTTGGACCTGCCTACGCATATAATTGAAAACGAGTCCATTGTGAAACGTTTTGAGCATGACTCATTTTCTAATAGGTGTTGCCCGATCGCCGAATCGTGAGCTGATTGCGAAAGACGAATGCGATTATCTAAATTTAATTTAATGTGTCTGGGTACATGTTGTCCGATTCTTGTTTCCAAACGAAGACATGTTCGCCCTATGTATTCAGCTTCGCACTGACATTTAAATTTATATATAATCGAACTTTTATTATGATAGGGCAAACGATCCTTGGAAAAAGACGGAAAAACAGTACGAGTACCAAAGACAACACGTACCTTGGCCGAAAAGAAGGTAGAAATTCTAGAAGTAGAATTTATTTTAATTTTACGTATATATATCTTCGTAAAATTTTAGACGTGTTCCAACCATATCATTTTGGCGTTCTTTTCATTTTCATTGTTTGTTTAAAATCATTTGCCAACGAAAGACCCTGATGAAGCGTTGGCCGAAAGGTACCTAGGTCCTGGAAAAAAAAAAAAAAAAAAAATGGTCATACAAAAGAAATTCATTTTCTTTAAATCATTATATATATATATATATATATATATATATTAATTTTAAATTAAGACAGAATGATACAAGAGTAAGTCATTTACTGAGAATTGAATTCAACACAAATTTGCAATTGTCAGCTATCATAGATTGCTAACCATAATCTTACAGCGAGGCAGAGGCTAAACTAAATTATCTTGGAAAAAAGGGTTATTCAGTTGAGGATAATGGTAATAGTAGTATTATCCATTTCCTTATCAGGAAACATTCAGCATTTAATGACCGAGCAACCAGTGCTACTCGAGTTATGCTTTGCATCACCCTCTGGTCATCGAGCTGAGATCAAAGTGTACTATCTGTTTTTCTCGTCTCTAATAGTACTTGTAATTCTTTGTGATTCTGTAGCAACAGTCAACAAGGTTCGAAGAAGTATGGTCCTAGCTTAGAGCTACAGGCTTCATTCTCTCGAAGACTGTTTTTATCATTAAAGTGAGAAAGCGTTTATATACAGCTGACAATTTAGGTATTTCTGAACGAATTTGGCACCAGGCATAACATCCATATGTAAGTCCCGACCTGACGAAGCTATTTAAGAATACAACTCAAGATTAGCTTCTTCATCATAAGGAAACATTTGGTATCCATTGATCCAGCAGTCAGTACTACTTTCGGTTGAAATTTATAAAACCTTTCTATTAAAACAATTTTTCAGGAAATAGGTCCCTTTGATGAGGGGTTTCCTTCCTAACATTTTTCTTTTAAGCAATGACGAAAGTCAACATCATGATTATGTCATTATTTTCTCTTCGAGTTAAATGTGCTATCCATTTTAGTTGTGCCTTTTGTTGAAAGTCTTCATGTCGTGTGGTTTCTACTGTTTGGTATATTTCTTTGTTTGTGATTCTATAGCGCCAGTCAACAAGGTTCGATTATGTATAGTCATCACTAAGAGTTACAGGCTTCTTTCGCTGGAAGCCATTTTTAACTATTGACCTTAGAAATTGGTTGTATAGAGTTGAAAGTTTAGATAATTTGGGGCGGTGTTTGTGCCATGCATGACATTTCTATAAAAGTCTCGATCTAAGAATATGATATAGGAGATTTTAGGTCAATGTTTTGGTTTTGGAGCAATTTCCGATGTTGAGCGATACTACCCCTAGCCCAGCCTATCCCATGTTCAATTTCCTCATTTCTTATACTAAATCTGTTGGAACTGATCCATACACCGAGGTAAATGAAATGTTTAAAATTTACTAATTTCACATCATAATTTTTTCGAAATCAGCTTAAAGGCAGATAATATGGAATCCTGTAGTTCGATAGAAAGATACTGAGTATACAATGGAGCGAATATGTGAGCAATGATGAGGATTTAGAGAAAATTAAAATAAAAAGGATGATTATACTTAACATCAGAAAAAGACAGATTACATTTCTAGGGCACGTAATGATGAAAGGGACACTGGAAAATTTGACACTGACAGGGCATACTGAAGGCAAGAGAGAAAGAGAAAAGCAGCGGTAAAAGCCTACCCAACGAGCTTGTGTAAATTGTTGGTTGAACAGGGAGAGATAGCGAAAAGACAAAATTTACTAAGAGCTGCAAAGGACAGCAAATTGAGTAATGATTATCGCCAACTTTCTGAAGTGAGATGACGCGAAGAAGAAGAAGAAGAAGAAGAAGAAGAAGAAGAAGAAGAAGAAGAAGAAGAAGCACATACATATGAAACTGCCCTCACAACAATAGTCACCTGTTTATGGTATTGTTCCTTCCAAAATGTTTCGTTCTAGTGTCCCTACGCAAGACAAATATAAGCGAAGTAAATATTAGGACGGTGATTCGTTATAGTGCAATTGTAAACTGGCCTAGCAGATAATTATTGGTTTAACGATTTAGATTCTCACTAGGTGTGCCCCACATATGACCTTGCACGAATCCAAATTAAACTTGGTAAATGCCGGTAATGACTCTGCAATATATATTAAATGGTTTTTCTTTTCCGACAGTAGCTATCTGCTCCTTTCTATCTGAACTGCTCGAAAGATTTTAGGTAAAAAAAATCCACGTTAAAGACTGTAGCACGGCACAATTATTTCATAAAACTGTACTAAAGAAAGGTATATACGAAGAAAAATATAAATTCTCACATATATACACCCGGCGAACGTTAACTTATTTTTCAACAGTCTCAAAAACAGATCAGAAAATTATCTGTATTAAAGATTTTAACAGAGAAATTCATGATTTAAGATCGGGGGAAAACGGAATTTTGGCTATTGTCATTAAATTTGATGCCAGGAAATAAATTGACGAGAGAAATGTTTTCAGTAGAGAATAAAGAATAGGTCATAACTCACTATCTATAGGAGCCTTATATTATTTCCACTTTTTAGACGAATAATTGATAGAATTTAAGTTACCTGTGGGAAATCAAATGTAGAAATGTTTAATCGTATTTTTGAGAAATTTTTTCTTCCTTTCTCTGACTTGTGCTTATTAAAATGTGCAAAGAATGTGCATTAGGGCGATTCTCTGATTTCTAATTGTTATTTTCTTTGACTTCAGAAAAAGAAGAAAAGAATTGGAAATGTCCAAGAATTACCATCACAAAAGGAACGAAAATTGTAGCTCGTGGAAAGAGTCTGAGATCCCGGTTAATTTATATTTTTCTTTTACAAAAAGAACAAATGAGATGTCACTTAGCATCCCACACACATCCACCCGCTCCCACAAGGACACACACATACACACACACACACACACACACACACACATATATATATATATATATATATAAGATATATACTCCGGAAAAGAGACAAAGAATATAAAAATTACATAAAAGTAAATGATGATATAAATGAAATCTTAGAGGTTTTCTTAATTTTAATGCTATCAGTAAAGATGTCAAGACAAACATTAAAAGCAAATTTTCAATTATATAGTATCTAGATATAATAGCAAAATGACCTTGAAAACGGACTTTAATATTTGTATATCTATCTATCTATCTATCTATCTATCTATCTATATATATATATATATATATATATATTAAGACATTTTTATGTTTATACATTCTTTTTATAGATACAAATATTTAAGTAAATGCTCTGTTTTATAATAAACAGTATTAATAACATTTACCGGCCTGAATGTCCGAGAAATTTTCATAGAAATTTATTCAAACCTGTATCCTATACG